ATAGATAGATAGATAGATAGATAGATAGATAGATAGATAGATAGACAACATAGAATAACATAACAACAAGATAGGATAGATAGATGAGAGAGAGAGAGACAGATAGACAGACAGAGATGGTAGATTGTTGTATCAGTGCAAGGAACAGCTAATTAAAATTAACAACTTTTCTCCTGTTTCTCTGTAGGAGAAGAGTTTGCCTAAAATTTTCATCTGAACATTGAACAATTAAGCCTTCCTCTTGCACAACCTGGCATCTATTACAACACCAGATTCCAAAACGCAACCCTGCACCAAGAAATAAAACTTTCTTTCCTCCTTCTTTCCAGGATCCCACGAATGGCTATTACAGCGTGAACACCTTCAAGGACCACCATTCCACGCCCACCATCTCCCTCTCAGGTTGCCAGCCAGAGATGCGGCCAGCCAACAAGCAGCGTGTGCCGACAGGCATGTCCTTCACCAACATCTACACAACCCTGAGTGGGCAGAACCGCCTCTACGACTACAGCCAGCGTTTCATCTTGGGCATGGGGAGCAGCTCCATCGAGCTGTGCGAACGGGAATTCCAGCGGGGTTCCATGAGCGACAGCAGCTCCTTCCTGGACACGCAGTGCGATAGCAGCGTCAGCAGCAGCGGGAAGCAGGATGGCTACGTACAGTTCGACAAGGCCAGCAAAGCATCAGCCTCGTCTTCTCACCATTCACAGTCCTCCTCTCAGAACTCAGACCCTAGCCGGCCTCTGCAAAGGAGGATGCAGACCCATGTGTGAAAGGATGGGACAAAACTGGCAACAGGAGGGGAAGGAGGATAGGATAGAGTGACTGACATGCAGGTCAAGAGGCCGCCTGAGCTGAATCCTGGCCCTGCTGAAGGCAGCCAAATCCTGGTGGGGGGGGGGGAATGGAGGCTGTTTGACCAGTGTATTTGTATTCTAGTGACCTGTAGCTCCGCAAAGCACTTCTCCCCTTCTTCTCTAGAGTCAAGGCTAATGCAAGGCGAAGGGAGGTAGACGGAGCCTTGCACTGCAGGTAGAACTCTTCAGAGAGACTTAATGCCTTCTTTCCTAGACCTGTTGACTCCCTTCCACAAGGGGGAAGGACTCACGACAGCTGAACCCAAACTAACCTTAAGCACAATGTCCATTTCCTTCCTGTAGCAAACCCAGGCATAGAAAGGGGGATGGGAACAAAGACAAGGGAAAGGAGAGGACAGGTAGCTTATTTGGGAAATGCTGGGAGAGAACCAGTCACCCAGGCCCACTTCTTTTAGGGAGGACAGCCTTCTAAACCCAATGGTGCAGGAGTAACAACCTCCATGGCCTTCCGTGGGAGGCGAGGCATCCTTGCTTTTCCTACCAAATAAGATAACCTCCCTGGAGATTTGGGGGTAGCTATGACCATCTATCGCCTACCAGCAACTTATATTTCACACTTCATCCAACTGGTTGGGCCCAAGAGAGACATCTAAGCTGTCTTTCGCCGGCATGTCATCTACCCTGGGTCGGTTCCTGAAGATAAATTGACTGGTGCTTCTAGAATCTCCTGTGCTTTCCACTTCCTCTTCCTTAGCGACATCGATTCCTGTCTGTGGACATTCTGGAGAAGGTGCATTTCCAACCGCTGCCCATCCCATGCACCAGCAAGCCCACCCTCCCTGCTGCTTAGCTTCATTTGCAAATTATAAGGGGTGGGGCGGGGGGGAAGCTGTCTTCTTCAAAGCAACCTCAAACAACACGGCTTAACTTAAGGAAGTTTCAGTGTGTGGGGGAGGGGGATAGCCATTGGTGTAATGACGTGCACTGACCGCTGAACCTGGTCTTTTATGATTTTTAATGATTTTTATTTTGTTCGGTGTTCGGTGTTTATCATATTACAATGTGTCTTTGGACTAAAACAAAAAACAAAAAAACGGAGTTGAGAACTTTTAAAAGTGGCTTCTCAGCAAAATACCCAGGTTTGCCTCTAGCCCATCCACCACACTCTGATTTCGATTAAGAGGAACTGTTTGGTGGAGGGAAGACTGGACTCCTCTTTTGAGTGACGTGTGACAATCACTGCAGAGGCCTTCCCCAGAGTGGGCTGCTGTGGCGAGTGAACGTAAAACATTTCTTACTTCTGCTTCTGTATTCCCTTGCCCTCCCTTCCTGTTATCCTCCTCCACAGCACAACTGGACGACTAATACAAGAATTGTTACATGAACCCTGGCAGTGAGTCCTTTGGAAACCAGTTTGGTTTAAACAACTCTGGTCCAAAAGAGGAAGGGGGAAAAAAACAACAACCACGCAGCAACATACACATCGTGTGGAATCCAGGGCTTGGTCTGTGATAAAAGCGCAAACATTTTCCAGGAAAAAAATCAAGAACTCCTGTCTATTTCTTCTAAGATATTCTTCTAGTCCAGGGGTCCCCAAACTTGGCAACAGCCACCATAGCTGAAGTCCGCAAGTCTTAAAGTTGCCAAGTTTGAAGACCTCTGTTCTAGTCATGCCACATACCACTAACCCTTTAACTCACCAACTCTGGAGAGCAAATATATTATCAAAAATTTAGCTTAACGAAATAACAGAGTTGGAAGGGACCTTGGAGGTCCTCTGTTCCAACCCCCTACTCAAGCAGGAGACTTGTACCATTTCAGACAAACAGTTGTTCAATCTCTCCTGAAAAACCTCCAGTGATGGATCACCCATAATTTCTGAAGGGAAGTCGTAATTGTTCTCTCATGAAATTTCTCCTTATTTGTAAGTTGGTTCTCTCCATGAATAGTTTCCATCCGTTGGTTGGTTCAATTAAAGCACTCTGACTTCCATCACAGAGTGGAGGACAAAGAGAAGCGGAACTTACCAAAGGAGGGAAAATGGGGTACACGTATCTGCCATTTCCCCAACCCCCATTCACTGGTTTGAGTCACTGGTTTCATTTGATATTAGCAGCTTATAGCACCCATTCATACCAAGAAAATGTCCACTATATAAAAACTAAACTCAATAATATTAATAGATGAAATCAAGCAGGCACAAAGATATAACGAACAAATCCAGCTCTTATTCACGTCCTTTTCTCACACAGTGTGCCCCAGTGAAGAATGCTTGTCAGGTCTCACAGGCTATTCAGATCAAAGCTGGCCTGGCAAGGGAAAACTACCGATATCAAATCAAAATTTAGGTCATGTGGGGGCATAAATACACCACTCCTAGAAAAAAGCAACCAATTGCTCTAAAAAGCAAACCAAATTTCTCTGGAGAAAGGGCAGGCAAGAGATGATGGTATCCTAGACCAGAATCTTAATGGAGATGTTAAGACCTACCATATGGATCAGGGGAAAAGCAAAAACGGCATCCTGTATCTTCATGACCATCGTATGCTAGCTTGCCTAGCTCTGTTGGACTTCCTCCTTCCTTCTGAACTTCAAAAGCTGCCCTGGTTGAGAATAGTATCTACAACGGAGTCCAAGGAGTTGTTCTCTAACTTCACCAGCAAAAATCCTCCCTCATTTAACAAACAATGCAAGTCTTTTCTAACCCAGCAGTAGAATCACTGAAGAGGAGACATTTTCCACACAGTTTTGCATGTAAGCTGCGCCCTCTCATTAAACTACACTTAGAGCCTATTGCCCATTTCTCCAATAAGGCATGGAATTGCAAATTAACTCCTAAGAATTTCAAGGCCCTTAATTTTTAGTTAGATCCTAAGAATTACTCAGCAGCACATAGGAATTTCATGGCAGGGAGGGGGAATGATAACCTTCAGCACTTACTACAGCCGGTGGACCAGTCATTGAAGGTTTAATCAATGTTTCTTCCATTTCATCAGACCAACAAGTGGTCTCAGGTTTGGGGTGGGTGATTTGGACCCACATTGTTTAGGAAATCCTTGGAAACTCTGAATTTCGTTTTTGCAGTCATCTTGGCAGAATGAACAAGAAATAAGCTGAATGCGGCTCAGTCCAGACAAACAAACGCCTGTGCTTTTCAGACAAATAAAAAGGTACTTTACTGCTGCTGGGATTTTTTTTTTTAAAAAAATTGGGAAGTACAGGTTACATCTGCCACCTACTGGTCAAGTCCTAGATTGGCAACACCTACCTTGCATTAGGGAAACCCCTATCTCAGGGATGTCCAATCTTGGACATGCGGATTTAGGACTTGAGGATTTAAACAAGACTTGTGGGTTTCAACTCCCAGAATTCCCAGCCATCCATGCATAATTCTGGGAGTTGAAGTCCGCAAGTTTTAAGGTTGCCCAAGGCTCAACGCCTGTGCTCTAGCTGGAAAGCCTGCAGAATGACCTTCACCATTGGCTTCAGAGATAATTCACAAAGCTTAAGTAATATGAAAATACTTGGCAACTATCACCCTTCACAAGCAATTAATGACTTGTTCAGAGACCCAACTGCTTGGGAGATTTTTGATTTTTTTTGGCTTTTTTCATATTTTATTTTGAGTTTACTTTCTGAAGCAAGAATTTCCTCAACCATCTGTTCATTAATATAATAACAAACAACAGTGATAGGCAATTATACTGGCTGCAGATTAACACATCGGGAAACAGCCTTTGGAAGCAGCCTTTGGAAAGCCCGTTTGTTTCATTAAACCCAGATTTCATCCAGAAGCCAGAGAAATGCCATATGCTGTGTTCACAACCAGGTTGAAAGATGTTTCTTAGAAGTAGAGAGAGGTTGCACCACAGTAGCAAGACAAGATAATAATAATAAAAAAAAAAACCTAGACTGGTTTTGCAAAGGCATATGTATGATGAGGAGAGGTTTATGATCAATAGCTCTATTGGGTTACCCATTCTTTCTTCTGTAACATTCACAAGGCCAAATTGCCTGGGGATGATACAGCATTAAAGACCATCTGCCCAAACCTGTTGATTGACCAAGTAGCTTATAACGTAGCAGCCAACCCTCATGGAACCATCCTTCCAGCCAAAGGCACAGGTGAGTTGCAAAATCTTCCTTTCCAAAGAGTGGACAAAAATGGCTTTAGGAGATGCTTTTAATAAATGTTTGTGCATCCTTGGCTATCCATTTCAACAGAAGCTGGAAAGATGCAGTTGTAGGGAATCACAATTATTTGATTATAATTATTTCTGATCCAGTCAATCAGAGGTCTCCAACCTTGGCAACTTTAAGACTTGTGGACTTCAACTCCCAGAATTCATAGCTGGCTGGAGAATTCTGGGAGTTGAAGTCCACAAGTCTTAAAGTTGCCAAGTTTGAGGACTCCTGCAGTAGATACATGAAAACAACTTTTCATGTGGTTCTTTGCAGAGCTGATGCATTCAGATCTGGTCTCTGAGTATCAAGATGGACATGCTGTACAAAACATACTGACCAGAGCTGCCTTTTTCAACCAATCATTTGCCCCTTCTATATTCTACATTTCCTCCTATGTGTAGAGAACCAATTCATCCTGCCCTAGAATCAACCCATTCAGTCAATTATACACACCTTGTTTCAAGAAAGTGAAGGGCCCTTGAGGATAGCAACTTTGCTCTCTTCTGATGGAGCCATGCAGGAGTAGAGAAGCCAAGTCAGTCACCACTTCTTCACTTTCCACAAGCTGGGGAACAGGTAGGATGTTTACAAGAGAGGGGTGCATGTCCAAAAAAGATGTGACCGTGCCCCCAAACGGGTGATTGAATTTCATTTGGCCTTCAGTTGTATGACCGGGGTTGCCATCTTGACTTCATTGACATGCACACACCATAGGCATCTCCAGAAGCAGGGAGCTCCAGAAAACCACTCCTTTCCTCAACACAGAGTAGTCCTAAGAAAACTCCATAAGAGTTACTAGTAACTGAGATGAAGCTAAGAAGTTACCTCCTAAAAGCAGTGGTGGAGCTCCTCTCCAGCATGGAAGAATGGAAGCAGAGCAAGAATAACAAGCCGTTTCTGCCCAGGTGCTCAGTGTCAACCATTTAAGGGTAGGCCAGGTGAGAAACACAACTCCATCAGAGATCCTAAACTCTATCAATTTAGGCTACAGCAGAATCTTAAAAGCCCAATAGTTTTTTTCTCCTCCACAAAGGTATCAAAGAGGGTCAAGGCAGGAAAATCCTGAGTTTCTTTCTCACCCTTTCCTGATGACCAGGCTTAGATTTACTAAGAGTTGCTACATATTTTATTCTGGAACAAGCCAGAAATTTCCCAAAAGAGACCTTGGAAGGGACTATAAGTCGAACTGAGACCTTGCAGTGCAACCTCTCTCCTAACATACATGCTCACATACACTTAGGCTGCCAAAATAGCCACCATGTTTATTTTTACACTGTGTACTAAATCACACAAGATCACAAACGTGGCAAGAGAGTATATTATTTTGAAATAAAGCCTCATAAACCTGGGCATTTTCTAGATGTATGAAATGTGATATGTCATAAAAATGTTTAAAGTGTCTGTGTTTCTGTGTGTTCCACTTTATTTACTGAGATCCAACATTTTTTTTTCTGGTAGCATCTCAGAAACAATTACTTCGGTTTCCCACCCAGTCAATCATCTATTCCATTTCCACAGGATTTGCTAAAATCTAATGCAGGTTTTTTCATCTGTGATATGAAAGAAAAAGAGTGCATACATTTGTCCTAACAGTGGAAACAATGGAAATAATTGTATGTCTCTTTTAGTCAATTTTCCACTGTGGTTCTCTTTAACTGAGAATTTTCCACTGTGGTTGTGTAGCCAGGTAGCCAGATTTGTCTAAGGCACAGAAGAAAAAAGATGCATTTATCTGGCATATCTTTAGGAAAACATTTCACAAGAATTCTGCCACAAAATTTGAATCTGTGAAAGATAAAAGACCTGATGGGATCATAATATTTCTTCTCTAGCAATGGTTATAATGGTCCCAAAACTCATAAATACAAAAAGGTATATTTTGTGATGTCTCCAGAGAAGTGTGTGAAAGAGATCTAAACATATCTTGGAGTATGTTTGTCAACTCATTGGCAACTTTAAGACCTGTGGAGATCAACTCCCAGAATTCCCCAGCCAACCATGCTCCCAAAATTCTTCAACCAGCGTGTTGGCTGGGGAATTCTGGGAGTTGAAGTCCACAGGTCTCAAACTTGACACAGTTGAAAAACATTGCCTAGGGGCTTTCTCCCTTTCTTGGCTGGGGTATCAACTACACAATGTGCTTTCAGCAGAACCAAAATTACTCAGCCACAAGGCCCTCGAGAAACAGCTGTTTAAGCTGCTTCCCAAGTCCTTTTTAAATACATTTTATGGTATTTATCTGCTAGTAGAAATCAGCAGGGTCTTTAATTAGGAGTGTAGGCTCATCATTGGTTGTTCTTTTTTTAACATAGTGAAGCACTATCATAAAAGTAATTAAAATAATCACCTCTGCTGAGTTTCGATTAAAAAAAAAACACTGGAGATTAATTGAACCACCCTCCAATTACAGGCAAAAGAACAAAAATGGAGAAAGGGGACAGTCATGTTTTAAAGCGCCAAAAACCTCTTTTAAAAAAGAGCACCAGTACCCTTGACTTCATCTCCAAGGCTTACCTCCTGATATGTCATCAGCAAGAATTGCCTTTTCCTTGATCAGTTTCTTCTGTGCAAGTTTAGACGAGTGTTTCCCAACATTTGGCATCTTTAAGATGGACGGACTTCAAATCCCAGAATTGCCCAGCAGCAAAGCTAACTGTTGAATTCTGGGAGTTGAAGTCCACTTACAGCTGGCAGGGGAAATCTGGGAATTGAAGTCCACCCATCTTAAATTTATGTAGGTTGAGAAACACTGACTTAAGACTTTCTAAAAATGGACTGATCCAGACATGGATGGAACAAATGGTGGGAGAGTGTATTCCATTTAAGCCAGAATTTTTTCTCCTAGGAATAATACCAGAAGGATTTAATTTCTCTAATAGTATACGTGTTGACGGAGGCTATAATAATATATGCACACTACTGGAAGAAGGAAAGCATACAGCCAGAAACAGAGATAATAAGGAAAATTATGGCCTGTGCAGAATTGGAGAGATTAACCCTAGACTTAAAAAAAAACAAGGGGGAATTTGAGTACTAGGAAACGTGGAATAAATCAGTGATTGCACACAAGAAGGCAAGGTTGGAACATAAGTAGCTAAGACGATTAGAATAATTAGTAAACTATGTTTCAGGCAAAGAGGATTGTAAATAGTGAAGTAACATTTATATAGGTATAACAATTGTAATGCCAGAACGGCTGTGCCGTGTTTCTAATAATTAAAATAAAATAAAAAATAAAAAAAGAGCAGCTTCAGAAGAAAACAGACTGGCTACATGCTACGATGCTTTTCCAAAACAGACTGAAAGGATATGAAGGAAGACACCCAACAAGGTGTCACAAGGACAGAATTTAAGAAATGTGAGTTGGCTCCAAGCGACAAACAATTATAACTTCTTTTTAGGCTGCAGTAAAGTTGCCAAGTGAATATTCTAACAGATTCTCTGCCTATTCAGCTGGTATTGGCCAGTTGCTTACATAGCTTTCCCAAACTAGAGGCCAGTAATTTTTTTCAGTTGATCTCCTCTTAGTAAGCTTCAAATAGATCCAAGAGAATTTTCCTGTTTTAGTATCATAATGAGCAAACTTTGCTCCAGATGTTCTCCTTGCTTCTCCACAACTTCAACACAGGGGAAATAAAACATTTGTTTCTTCCCTGCTGGGAAATGAACAATACTGAAAGTAAAATTCTCAGCCCCTCTAACTGATGGTCCAACTTCTCCATTACATGGAGTGATGCAGTCACAACTGACCCACAAGGAAAATTTCATAGGCAATAAACATCTTATTTTGCAAAGATGTATGTCCATATATAGTTATTGTCAGTCCTTCAAGATACACCAGGCTGGGAAACCACATGCTAATATTACTTTTGTTATAAGATTATAGTAACAGAATTTTTCAAATCCAAATGTGTTTTCCCCTTAGGGAACTTTTTAGGGAGGGTCTTGTCTGAGACTTTTTTCCCAGGTTATGCTCTGATCCAGATTCAAATTTATTTCATCCTATTTTCTTCCTCCTGTTCATCCAAGCTATTCCTTTTGTCCATGACAACTGTGGGCATGCTACCTTTTTCTCCTGAAGGAAAGGTACAATAACAGTATAACAGCATTGGAATGGGCCTTTGAGGTCTTCTAGTCCACCCCCTGCTCAAGCAGGAGATACTACACCGTTCTGGGAAAATGGCTGTCCAATCTTTTCTTGATGGAGCATCTGCAACTTCAGGAGGCAAGCCATTCTAATGATGGATTGTTCTCACTTATCAGGAAATTTCTCCTTAGTTGGAGAAAATTTACCTCTAGGCTGGATCTCTTTGATCAGCTTCCATCCATTACCTCTTGTCTTCAGGTGCTTTACAGAATAGGTTGAATAGGTAGCCCCTCTTCTCTGTAGTAGCCCCACAAATATTGGAAGACTTAGAGGTGGTATATTCAGCAGGTTCTGACCAGTTCTGGAGAAACGTTAGCGGACATTTTGAGCAGTTCAGAGAACCAGCATCTAACATCTCTGACTGGAGATTTTACAGTATCCTTCCCCTGCCACGCCCACAGAACCGGTAGTAAAACAAATTGAATCCCACCCCTGGGAAGACTGTTATCATGTCACCCCTAGTCCTATGGAATTGAATTGGCATCCTTTAGTCTCAAGAGCCGATGGTATCGTGCTATGAAACTGGTAAGTGACACTTCCCGTGTTGTTTCAATGCTGTATGCAAAGCTGGAGTGCAAAGCACGAGGCCTGGATAATTTAATATGGAGGATAAACTGTTACCTGAGCAGCAGATGCCCCCTCTCCATGTCACTGAAGTAGTCCAATAGGATGGCACAGCTGATATAAGGGAGGAAGAAAGAAAGAAAGAAAGAAAGAAAGAAAGAAAGAAAGAAAGAAAGAGGGAGAGAGAGAGAGAGAGAGAGAGAGAAGGAGGCAGAGAAAGAGATTCTATATATTTCTATAGAATATAAATGTAACAAACGAACACACTTCATAAAGGGCTATTTTAAATTAAATTTATTAAATTACTTAACACTGCTGTAATTGCTTGGCCAGGAAAAGACACTTCCAACATTTCCTTGTGGGATTCAATGCCCCCTCTCTCCCCAGAACCCCCATTTAATAAGCAACCCCTCCTTCCTCCCGGTTTCCAAAGGAGGAATCTGGAAACCTCTCTCATCTGTCCAGTCCATGGGCAGTCCTTCGGAGCAATCCACCTTCTTAGCGATGGATCGGATGGCCTCAGCCGCTGGGAGTTTGCATCGCCAGCAGGCCCCCTCAAAAGCCGGGCACTTGCGAAGATGGCTAAGGCACGTTTGGCTGCACAAGTACATGGAAGTTGGTCTCGTGGTCTTGTACCTCCACGTGGTCGATCCCCTCTCGAGGGAGAAACAGAAGGTTGCCAGGTTTCCAATATTCAATCGGACAAGTGCACTTAATATGATCAGCCGTAAATACACTTTGACCCCACGTTAGAGATTAAAGGAGAAGAAGAGAATATACCCAATCCTAACCAGACTGGCACATATGAAATGTCTGGACCCCTCCTTGCCCTCCCCTGCCTCTATGAAAAGGCAACTTACTTCAAAACGACCCCTACTTTTAGGCCCCTGAGATTAGCCTTCGTCCTAAAGGACAACCCCCTTCCGCTTCCTAACCGTCAGGCAAAAGTGCTGTGCAACTTCGGGTTCTGCCCATTTCCTTCCCCGTACAGAGGATATACCCCCTTTTTCTTCTTCTCTTGCCTTTCCTGCCCTTCCTTTCCTGCTTAACTTTGGCCAGGATAGTTCTTGTGCGTTGTCGGTCGTTTCCGGTGGTCATCGCCACTTGATGGGAAGGAAAGAAATCTATTCCATACATTTAAGAACAGAGATGAAGCTTAGTCGGGCACACGCACGTCCTTCACAGAAGGATTTCTTTTCCACACTTTGCGCCCGGGGGGGGGGGGGGAAATAAAATAAAAATAAACATCCATTCAACTACTATTTTAGGTATAAAAACTACCAGCAAATACTGTTGGGTATTCTCCTTTCCAGCATAGTCTCTAAAACTAACCAATCAGATGAGAGAGGAGTACACTTCACTCTCTCCGCTACCATCCTTGATCGTATCCTCCTGGGCGCTCTTAACGGGAGAATTGCTCAGGGACTTAAACCAACCTACTTTGTCTCATCTTCATCTAAACAGGGAAACAGGGTGGCAGATAACTAATAATCCTTCATTCAAGTTGCCTCTTGCCTGTTAGGTAACATCCAATACGATAAATAAAACAACGAACAACCACCCATCTACTGGTTTGCAGAGGAAGGGAGAAATGATTAATGAAAACCACTTTATGGGACGATCACTTTATCAGCGTGGGAAACTCTGTTGGTATCTTCTTGGAGGCCCGTCGTTCCAAAGTTGCCTCTGGTGAAATGCAGGAACATTTCTCAGTTGGACGCCAAAGGAAATTCTGCAACCGCCCAAGTGAAGAAGATTCGGTAGAGGGCAGTGCCCAACAAGGAAGAAAGACTCCGACTGATGGTGTCCCCCAGGTTCTCTACAGGACTGCTTCTACCCCTAGCTGCCAACACATTTCGAAGCCGTACACTTCCACCCAGCCTGATCCCCACTTGCAGGGAACTGCATGGCCTCTGCAATCAGTCAGCATTGGAATGGAAGGGACGGCTGTTGTGTTAGAAAAGGGCCAGCCACAAAGGGCTTTGTCCTGCTGGCACGAAGCTCAGCTCCACGTGAACATAAAGGCTGTCCATCTTACATCAGAAGTAAGTGAGGTTCTTGACGAGTCCCAATTCAAGCATCTGTTTTATTGCTAATGCCTCGTGGGAGACATTGTGCCCTGAAGACTGTGGAGCAAGATAAGAGAAAATCTATTAGTAGAAACAGCAGGCTGGGGTGTGGTTTTTAATGGATTTACAATATTGATACACTAGTTCTACACCCATGCGTCGCTACAAAACTATGTGGTCAGGCTTAGTTTTGGGGGAGGAAAATAAAGGGAAAAATTCTGCTTACTAGCATCCATCAGTATTCATCTGGCTAATGTCCTGTCAGTGTGTGAGAGAGAGTTGAGGGCTGTTTGGAAACTGAAGCAGTATTTGTGAGCAAAATGGAGATGGAAAGGAGCCTGGGCGTGGCTTAGCTCAACTGTTTTGTACTAAAGCTGCTTGGTGCTGTGAAACTAAAACTGAAACTGAAGCTCCTCTCCTCTGCTTGTGTTTTGCATTTGGAACAGATTTCTTTTCAGGTGGGGAGAACTCCTTATCATGTGTTAATAATAATATAGGAAATACTTAATGCCCTGATGGTCATTTCGAAAAATCCTTTCTTAGTGAGCACCTAGAAGCCAAGAGGAACCTACGTGCCAAATTTCAAGTTTGTTGGCTTTATGGTTCTGGAGACTTTGTGATGATACATGAGTGGTATTTTGTTTTTTTATATATATAAAAAGCCTGACTCACAGACGAACACAATACAGAAGCCTGATGATGGCAGAAGAGATTCTGCCGAAACGTTACTACAACTATATATTCTAAAGCCGGTACCTATAGTTTCTCTGTTCAGTTAAACTCGGGTTGACACTATATTGGCCATCTCATGCAAAAGAGCTATGTATGTGGACAAAAAGCTAATTTGTCCCTTGATCTATTAAACAAAGGTACGAAACCTGAATTGTGTCAGGTTGAATAGTTCCCTATCTTCATTAGAAGAGAAGAGAGGAGGGTTACTCACAGCCATAGATTTCACCGTAATTTGCTCGTAGTAGTGAATACTCTGCTTCTTGTCATCTGAGCTGGGATATCCAAAGCCAGCAATATCTACCACATCGCAAAAGTGCAAAGCAAGGGTGATAGCCACTAATCCTGTCGTTGGTTTCTAGAGTAAAAGACGTGCAATAATTGATACCAGTACTTCTGTACACGGCAGCCTGGCTTCACTTAAGACTTTAGAATGATCCACGGGGACTCCTCAACTTCCAACAGTTCATTTAGTAATCTGTTCATTTCGTAAGTGTGACAAGCAGATGTAAGCCACTTCCTAAGGCACTGAAAAAAGTGATTTACTTTTTCACACTTACGACCAACCGTTGCAGCATCCCCATGGTCCAAATTGGCAACTGACTCGTATTTATGTCGGCTGCAGTGACCCTGGGGTCATATGATCACTTAACAATTGTAGCAAGAAAAGTTTAACATGGGGCAAAGCTAATTTAACAAGTTGTCTCACTTAGCAACATAAATTTTGGGCTCAGTTGTGGTGGTAACCCCAGATAAATTGTGTAGCAAAATAGTTTATTTTTATTAGAAACATTACATCAGGTGTCTTCAAACTTGGCAACTTTAAGAGTTGTGGACTTCTGCATTACATAAAAGCAGCCTTCAGTTCATTACTAAAACAGATAATAAAAGATAATCAGAGTCTAAACCCCTGCCCAAGTGAGAGACCCTACATCATTTCTGACAAATGGCAGTCCAATCTCTTCTTGAAAGTCTCAATGCTGACGCTCCCACAACTTTGGAAGGCAGCTTCTTTTCCATTGGTTGATTGTTCTCACTGTCAGAAAGTTTCTCCTAATTTCCAGGTTAAATCTCTCCTTGTTCAGTTTCCATCCATTCTTCCTTGTCTGGCCTTCGGGTGCCTTGGAAAATAGGCACCCGAAGGCACCTCCTCTCTGTGGCAGCCCCTTAAATATTGGAAGACTGCTCTCCTGTCTCCCCTGGTCCTTCTCTTCTCTAGACTAGTCATGCCCAGTTCCTGCAACCGTTCATCGTATGTTTTAGTCTGCAGTCCCCTAATCATCCTGGTTGCTCTTCTCTGTACTTTTTCTAGAGCCTTTTTTATAATGTGATGACTAAAACTGGGTGCAGTATTCTAGGTGTAGTCTTACTAAGGCTTTATAGAGTGGTGTTAGTACCTCAATTTTATCTTGATTGTATCCTTCTGTTAATGCAATTTAGGATTGCATTGGCTTTTTTGGCAGCTGCTGCACACTGCTAGCTCATATTTAGCTGGTTGACCTGTTCTTTTTTAAAAGGCAAATGGTCAATATTTATAACAATATCCACCTTTTTATTTTGAGATCAATTTTAGGAGGTAGCATGAGACAGAGTGACTAATACAAGATTTTCCAGTAAGTCTTATGGCTAAGAAGAGATGTTAATCTCCCTGAATCTCTTTGGATAAAGAAAAGCTGATCATGGCAACCTAACCCAAATTAGTTATTTGCTTAGCTTAATGTCATTTTGTTTCTGTTATTTATAGGAGAAATGACTAAGCGTGGGATGAAAAGTTTGGTGTTGAAATGTTTTACTTTTAAAGCCTAATATATTCTCAAAGAGATTCTTTCATTTTTAACCAGGAGTTTAGAAAGTGACTTGTTTAAAAAAAATGAAATGAATAGATGGATTATCAGGATGTGTTTTTACAGTGGAGTTACAGTATCCCGAAGACAATGTAGTTATGTAACACCTGGCAGAAGATTTCCTCCTAAACGTTTAAGTTTCAGTCAAGCTTCAACGTGACTGAAGGAGTCACGTTCATGAAAAAATAAAAATTAAGACGTAGTAGGAGGGAGCAATCCTAAGATTTTCAATCAAGTGGTAAAAGGGGAATAACCACAGCTTGGCAAACCTATCTGGAATAAACGCCTTTGCGGTCTAGAAGCTGCCAGCCTGGGGATAAAAAAAATAAACATTGCACCCCAAAAAGCCAAGGTTATCTTTTCAAATAAGATGAATCAAAGCTGAAATTCTTTTTGAGGGAATATGTGACGGTTATAAAACAGGTCGTCCCATGACCGATCTGGTTTTACAACTTTTTTTACAGCATCTTTTAAAGCAAAAGCTGTAATTTAGTGAACCACTTGTATGGTATTAGGCCGGTTTTGATGAAAACTGGAAGCAAATGCTGGTTTTTGGCAAAAACTTCGTATAAAATGCAGTCGTGTGCTTCTAGAAACAGATGGGGACTTCCAGAAATGAAAGCTTTTCTACAAAACAGCTCTTCAAATATATCAAAGAACCAAGTGATGAAGAACCGAGAGACTTGTCCCAAAAGTGCTTTTTCAAAAAGCGATGGGATTTTGTTTTTTTCCTTGAAGACATTTCGCTCCTCATCCAAGAAGCTTCTTCAGTTCTGAATAATGAACTGAAGAAGCTTCTTGGATGAGAAGGGAAACGTCTTCAAGGAAAAACAAAGCCTTTTGAAAAACGGAGATTCTCAGTCATCCAAGACATGTTGTCCCAAAGGTGCTTTATTTTCCAAAAGGCCACAGGACTTTGTTTTTTCTTGAAGATGTTTCCCTTCTCATCCCTGAAGCTTCTTCAGCTCATTATTCAGATGATTAAAAATCTCCACAGACATTAAACCAAAAGACTTCTTCAGTCAGCCAACTACGCACGCTGATACCTGTTGGACTGTCTTCCTTCTCAAAGCCTAGAAATTTCTGTGGAGATGTAGTTTAGATATATGATGCAAAGAGATAACCAAGGAGAATGAGTAGTTTACGGAGGAGAGGTTAATCCAAGCTGTTTTCTGCTGTCCACGTACACACGGATTGGGTATTATTGCTACCCTGAACCAATCTGCTACTCTTTTTACTACCAGTGTGAAGTTGTGAAGACCCTTGAAATTCAATTAAAAGTCATCCATGTCAGGAAGATATGTGAACCCAAGCTATTCAGACTGATCAAAGAAGTGTAATACAGGTAATCCTTGATTTACGACTGGTCGCTTAATGACTGTTCAAAGTTACAACAGCCCTCCCCAGAGCTACTTATGACCTATTTTAAAAGTTATGTCAGCCGAGCACATGAGAGATTGGCAACTGGGTCATCTTTACAGCCATTTACTGTGTGCTTGCAATCAGGTTGAACACAATTTGCAATTTATTTTTTACAGTTACAATGTTTACTTCTGATTTCTGGCAAAAAAAAAAAAAACCATCAAGGAAAATAGATTTGCTCAACCATCAAGTTTGCTTTATGACTGTCATATCTCCTTTAACAACAACAACAACCCCTTCACTTTAACAACCACCCCAAAAAGAGGTCAAAAAAATCTGGTCCAGTTACATGATACCCCAATTTACAGCTGCCGTGATTTATGACTGTAAATCAGGACTCAATTATGATAATAAATCAAGGATTATCTATTGTTCCACAACTTAGTGATATTCCCAATTTTAAGCGTCTATGGGGAAAAAAGCAAAGTCCAGTTACCCTTTTGGGATCCCAATTTTAAGAATATCCAAAAGCGAGAAAAAGGCTGTTGGCTTCAAATCAGGTATTTGAATATCCATCTCTTCATTGCTTATACTCATAACCTCTAATTCGTTCTCTCTCTCTCTGCTACCCACACACGTACATACGCTTGTCTCTCTTACCTCTTTAAGCTTCCACAAGTGTTTTATTGGAAGCTTAAGCACTTTAGCAGCTGCAACCTCCATGAAATATGGGTTCAGAATTCGTACTTGCTTGGGATTTGCATCCCAAATTAATGGAGGCTGTTTCCAGAAACCCTTGCGAATCTGGAGACAAAGCAGACACAGGGAAATTAGTCACGCACGTTTTATTTCCAAATGCAACATCAAAGCATAAAGAGTCTAACCTGGTTAAATAGAGAGAGAGAGAAAAGAAAAGTAATGTCAAAAAGACTTACAACCACAATTGAGCCCAACATTTATGTGGCTAAGTGAGACTCATTTGTTAAGGGAGTTCTGTCCTATTTTACGACTTTTCTTGCCAAATTTGTTAAACGAATCTCTTGCAGCTCTTAAATTAGTAGCACGATTGTTGAGTGAATCTGGCTTCCCCATTGACCTTCTTGTCAGAAGGCTGAAAAAGGGAATTGTCTGACCTAGGGCACCGCAATAAACGGCTAAAGTGAGTCGGTTGTCAAGCATCCAAATATAAGTCACGGGGGATGCTGCAGTGGTCATAAGTGTGAAAAATGTTAATAAGTCACTTGTTTTCAATGCCACTGTAACTTCGAATGGTCACTAAGTGAACTCCTGTAAATTGAGGACTGGATTACAGATTAACAGAGTTGGGAGAGACCTTGTAGGTCATCTAGTCCAACCCCCCCACCAAAGCAGGAGACCCTACACCAGTTCCCGTAACCGTTCTTCATATGTTTCGGTCTCCAGTCCCCTCATCATCCTGGTTGCTCTTCTCTGTACTGCTAGTCTCAACATCTTTTTTATAATGTGGTGAACAAAACTGGATGCAGTACTCTAGGTGTGGTCTTACTAAGACTTTATAGAGTGGGATTAGTACCTCACCTGACTATCTGTACTTCTCCAATTTTAGGAGAAGCATTTTGGTGTTTCATTTGGACATTTGATCTCCCCTGTTTGGTTTCTCATCTTCTCCACAGTTTGTCATTAAAATTGCTCAAATCCTACAGAATGAATGTTCTACTGACTGGTGTTGTGATGCTATTAACCGTCCAAGGCAGACCAAACAGGAAACCAGAAACACGTGAGCTACAATTACTTGTATTGTAAGGTTACAGAATCAGGATTTGCAACTTTGAGTATACCTCTCCCCTACTTCTCTTTACATGTAGTTCTCAATGAAGTCTGTCCATCACAGTCATAAGCTGTGATGAGTTATAAAACAGGTCACCCCATGACCGACCTTGGTTTTACCATCTTTCTTACAGCATCTGTTAAGCAAACACCAGCAGTCATTAAGGAACATAGATAAAGAAAATCAACAAAGATAAAGTCACGTTTTCTCCCAGCAGCTGCCGTTCTCAGCATCATTTCTTTTAAACTCTCATCCCCAGGTGGGGCTAATGAAGGGAATCAGGGCCCTTTCCTCCCCCGTAAGCCACACAACCCACGTTGCTCTCTTCTCTGTTCCTCCCTGCGTGCCCGAGGATGAAGAGGGAGTTGGACCTGGGTCTTCCTCTGAACTCCCTCTCCCTTGTTCTACCTCTCCCCTGCTCTGCCCAGCCGGACTTTGCCCGTCGCCAGTTTCCTCCATAGCCAACGGAGCCACACTCCAACTCCCTGTCAGCTGTTTATTTTCATCCTCGGATTCAGACTTCAACAGGGACACTGAATGTCAGCCGCTTGTTGGCTGGCCCACATTTATAGCTGGTCACATGACTGCATTTTTTGAAGTTTTAGCCAAAAACAAAACAAAACACCAAAACAATCCAGCATTTTCTTTCAATTTTCAACAAAACGGATCTATAGCAAACGTGACTTTATCTTTGTTGATTTTCTTTATCTGTTGTCCTGGCGTCATCTGGAATTCTTGCTTCTGCGCTGCTAGAATAATTACTTCATTTTGCCTTGATTGGACTTATAGACACAGTTTTTGTTGACCATGTTTTGGACTTGATTCTCTGCAGCCAAAGGCTGTTCCTGGGAGAGTTTTTCTCCAGTCAGAAAGTAACCAGGGCACTGGGGGCAAAGTTGGAGCTAATAAAGGGACTTCTACTGATTATCTGACTGTGTTGCCTTTGTGCCACGCTCCAGGTCATCACATTCAGTCATGTAACCGTGGAGGGAGGGGCAACTGCTGGAACTTCAGAACCGGGTTGTAAGTAGCTCCAGGGAGGCCCCTTGTAACTTCAAATGGTCACTCAGCAACCGGTCGTAAATTGAGGACCACCTCTATCTTGATGAAAAGTAGGGTAGGTCTTATGTGAAAGCATTCTCCAATTTCCTTTCTGTCTTGGACTCATATTTCTTTTCTTGGACAATTATCTTTATTTGACAGCTCTTCTTCCTGTTCCTTGGGGTTTATTTCTTCTCCTTTCTTCAATTGCACAGGACCAAGTGAAGCAGTGCTGTTTCTACCATTCTAACAACGGATGGAAACTAATCGAAGAGAGAAGCAAGCTGGAGTTAAGGAGAAACTTCCTAATGGTTGTGGGTGCTTCATCACTGGGAGGTTTTGAAGAAGAGACTGGATAGTCATTTGTCTGAAATGGTATAGGTCTTTTGCTTGAGCAGAGGGCTGGACTAGATGACCTTCAAGGTCCCTTCCAGCTCTTTTCTGATTCCGATTGACAAGCAAGGAAATTAGGTAAAGAAAATAGATCTCATCCACATCTAGCAAATGAGCTTGGTTACGCCAGACCAAAATCCGGCGTCCCAAGCTCAACCCCGCAAACAAATCATGATTCTATTTTGGAGGTGGGACGAAAAGAGCTTCCAAACCAGTGTATTTGTGGGCAGGTGGATCCTTTCCCAAAACGAACTACAAAAAAGAAAGGCTAACTGCTTACTCTCTTCTTGTCGTGGAGAATTGTCTCCATCCACATAAAATCCATGGGTTTGAATGCCACCAGCACCAGCAACGTGTTCGGGTTGTTGTCGGTCTGAGGGTTGAAGTGTGCTGACTCGGGGTAGAAAAGACGCATGGTAGTTTTGGTGCCCACGTCACGCTCGTAACCGTGGACTGGCGCGTTGTTCAGCCTGGAGAGAGGAAGAGAAAACAAGATACGCGATGGCAGGGAAGATGCCAGAACAGCAGCCGATGTGGGCAAAGGAATAGCAATAGCACTTAGACTTATATACTGCTTCACAGTGCTTTACAGCACTCTCTATGTGGTTTACATAATCAGTATCTTGCCCCCAACAATTTGGGGTCCTCATTTTACCGATCTCAGAAGGATGGAAGGCTGAGTCAACCTTGAGCCTGTCAGAATTGAACTGCTGGCAGCTGGCAGAGCCTG